GCAGTACTGTCTTTATTCCCAGCAAGAGAAGAATCGTTAACTAAAGATTTATAAATATATATATATATATAGGAGCATCGTCAACTAAAAGAGTTATACATTTATATGTATATAACTCAATGTGAATAGAGTTAAAAAAACAAATTAAAAATACAAGAAGCCTCAAACCACAGGTAGATAAACAATGAAAAATTTTGTAATGTGTATTCCAAACAAGGTTTTTAGTATCCATACATATTATTCTGTCCTGATTTTGGGTTAAGTATATTTTACATTTGTATCCTTTGATTTCACTGGGAAAAAACTACACTGAGTACTTATGAAATCGACTGATTAGTTATGTGAGCTGGTATTATTTGGATAATCCTTTCCTGTGCGTTATATTGAATTATTCTAAACATTCTGTCGAAACAGTGGTTTTCTAAATTTTTATTTTTTTAAACTATTTTTACTGTTTTCGTATCTCAGAGTAGTATTATAGAGATTTACTTTCGTTTTATGAGCAAAGCAAAGAATGGGTTATGTTGTTACCTGATTAGGGATTTAGACTTCACTGTTTCCATATCTTGGAGTATCATTACACACATATATTTTCATTTTATTTGTAAAGCAAACAACGGGATTATGTTGTTCCGCGGCAGGGATCAAGACCCGAATTTTATCGTTATAAGCGTTCTAGTTAACCGCTGAGCCATAAAGATTGTATACACTTTATACAACAAATATTACGTTAATAATTATTAATAACAACACAAATCACTTCGCTTTACACATTCTTACCTTGTAAGATAATTTGTCATGAATTAAGCCCACAATCACTCGGCTAAGGGCATGAACAGCTCCAGCTACAGAACCGATGGTGGACAGAAACGTGTCGTCTGATATAAACGTCTGTCCATATGTCTGGAAAACAGTAAGAAGGTATTTTTGAACTAAAAATAACTTTCTTTCACTAATCAGGTGAAATTGTGTCAAAACAGTCCTGGTGTTGGTACTTAGTTTGTAACTACAAGTTCTTATTTTATATTAGGTTTGAACACCACAATCAATATTTTCGTACATAATGTTTAGTTCCATGCAGTATCTCAAGATGGTTTATGATGAGTATAATGTTAATTTATTTATGTAAGTCGTAGTTTTGGGAGTCAGAAACTTTCATTATATCAGAAAAAACAAATTAATATCAAGTTGATATACTTACCTTATAAAAAGCATTCACAAACATGAATGGATAACATGAACAAATACAAACTATGGATAAAAGGTAAAATTCTTTCATTTTCAGAGCTTCCTTTGGTGACACATGAAGTTCAACTGTAAGGTTGTTCGTCATCATCGTTCACATTGGCTGAATCTTCTTCCAATGATTCACATATTTTTCCGTTATTTATTGTTGTTATACAGTCCAAATCTTTCGAAACTGGTCCACCAAGTTCTTTACTACATGATTGTCTTGACGTTTCGTACACAGTAGTTAGTTCGCTGGAATTGTTTCTTCCTGTGTTTAGTAAAATGATTATATGGTATTTTCAGTTTATATACATAGGAAACAACGGTATTCATATTTTTAACGAACAAAACAGCAAAGTTTAATATAAACTTTAGCTCTGGGT